TTTGTATTAATCAATAATTTTTATTATTTGATTTTTCTCTTATTAACTTCTTAAGTATACATTTTTTATTATTCTTGTAGTGGTTACCCCAGAAATTACAACAAGTATACTGACCTAATTAATGTCTACTTTTAGTTGATAATTTTAGCACTTTCTTAACAAAAAAAATACCTTAAAGCATTTTAATTCCATTTGACTTCCTCCTATATTTTGTCCTATTGTTATCATTTCTTTTAATTCTACATATGTTACATGCACATTATTATTATAAGAAATAAATGGGGTGCCTGGGTGGCTCAGTTGGTTAATCAACCAACTCTTGGTTTGGGCTCAGGTCATGATCTCATGGGTCATGATATCAAAACCCAGGTTGGGCTGTGCACTCAGCAAGGAGTATGCTTGAAGATTCTCTTCCTCTGCCCCTCCCCACACTGGTGTGTGCTCAAACACTCTCTAAAATAAATAAATAAATCTTTTTAAAAAATACATAAATAATTTAAAGTTAGTCAAAATATTTACCCTTCATGTGTTTTTCATTGTATCCTACACTTCTGCATTTCCATTTTGCATCTTTTTCCTTCTGCCTGAGGGGAAAAAGAATTTGCAAGCCTACTGAATGCAAATTATCTCAGCTTTTATGTCTCTACAAATGTCTGTTTGTTTGGGTTTTTTACCTTCATTGTTAAAGGCTAATTTCCCTGTGAATAGAATTCAAGTCTTTCCATTATTTTTTTTCCCAGCAAAATGCCTTTCCATTGTTTTTAACTTTCACCATTTCCATGGCTATTTCTTAAAAGATAATGTATGTTTACCTAAAAAATATTTTTTTTAAATGACCCCTTTGTCTTTAGTTTTCAGCAAGTATACTACAATGTGACTGAGTGTAGTTCTCTGTATATTTAGCCTACATAATTTCATAAGGCTTCTTGAAACTGTTGACTTGTTATCTTTTGTTTTAGAAGAACAATGGTGTTTAAAATTTCTTCAAATATTCCCCTGTCCTATTTTCTTTGTCATCTTCCAACTACATGTAGATATTTTTGTCATGTCCCTGTCTTTTACTCTCTTTTCTGTGTTTTCCATCTTTTTTCCCCCCGATGTGCTTCTCTCTGGGTAATTTTTAATAACTTATCTTTCAGGACTCTGATTCTCCCTTCTGCCATATTCTAATCTATGATTGAATCAATCCACTCAATTCTTAAATGGAATGATCTTCTTAGGTCTAAGAAAAACATAGTAATTACTTCTTATCTTGTGAAAATTTCTATCATTTCATATATTACCTTAAATATATTAATTCTAATTATTTTAAAGTCTGTGTTTTATAACTTCAAAATCTTAAACATAGCTTCTTTGGTTATCTTTTTTTTTCTCTTGGTTTTCGTGGCATGCTTGGACATCTTTTATTGACTGATGTTGTGAGTGAAAAATTGTAGAGGGTTGGGATCATTTTATGTTTTTCCAGAGAAGGTTTGATTTGTTTTTAGGAGGCAGAAAGAATACAGCAGATCACCTTCTCCCAGTCTAGGATGGTCCATTGCTTCTAGGGCATAGCTTTTTAGGAGTACAAAATTAAAACCAGGGGTATTGGGGCACCTGGGTGGCTCAGTCAGTTAAGCATCTGACTCTTGGTTTTGGCTCAGGTCATGATCTCAGGGTCGTGAGATCAAGCCCTCATCACAGAGTCTGCTTGTCCCTCTCCCTCTGCTCTCTCTCCCTCTCTCTTGCTCGCTCTTTCTCTCTTTTTAAAAATAAATAAATAAATAAAATCTTTAAAAAAAATAAAACCAGGGGTATTTATCAGGGGCTTTTTTCTGTGATGGGCCCTAAAGTCTTCTTTTTGTTTCTCTGGTACATTGAAGTGGCCAAAATCTCTGATTAGCTTTTTAAGTCTTAATAGCTGCTTTCTCCTTGTCTTCCTAGTACCCTCTCCCTATGTGTTTCCGTTCTAAGTTAGCAAGTACCTCAATGAAATGGCTGGCAAAATCTTCACCTCGCTATTCTGCAGCTGCCTTCTTTCAAGTATCCTGGCCTTCTAGTGCTGGTTGTCTTGGTGGTCTTAACTTCCAATCTTTGTCTTCCCAGTCCAGTGAGACTGACATGAAATCTAGGCTATCGCCTTCTTTTCATCCTCCATTCTCTGCATCTTGATTTGGGAAATCGCCAAAGAAGGAAAAGTTGCACAGAAGGTTTGAGTCAGCTCAATGAGTTTCCTTTCTTTCCCAGATTTTAGCTACTCAAATCTTGGCTGCTTTCATTGCCATCTGAACTTTCAAAGAGTTGCTTTTTGTATTTTATTCAGATCTTTGAGATTTTTTTCACCTGGATAGTTTGTATGATACTGGCTAACTCAGCATAAAACGATGTGTGGTTATTTTTTCATCTTAAAAGCAAGTTACAAAGTAAAGAAGTTACAAAGTGATCCAACCAAAGCCTTATTACTAATAATGGGTGGAAAGCCAAATCTAATCTACATGTTTCTATTATCCCAGAAATTAATGCTTTTTAAAATTGTCCTGCATACCTCCAACTAGAAAACTACACTAGTATTTACTGCAGGAAATTTTGTTCCCTTGCTACATCACAGAATAACCTTAAAGACAAATCAAATATCTTAACTAAAGTTATGGCTACTTAACAGAGTAACACCGTTGGCAAACCATTAAATATCAATCCTTCAAAGTCTTGAGAGAAAAGAAAACACTATGCCAGATCTTAAAATAAAAACAAATAAATGAAATAGTGACTGTTGATTCATCAACATGATAAAAAGCTCTCATAAAATGAGGCATAGTGAAGATTTCCCATCACATTATATAAAACATAATATCATACCTTATAATAATATCTTATTTGAGAAATATTTTAAATATTGAGATTTTCTTACAAAATTTGGTAATTTGGTAGTTTAAAAAAAAAAACATACAACAAGGAACTCAGTAATTACACCAGCTAAAATGTTTATTTTTCCCTAACTTTCATGAACATACCTGCATTATAAGTATAACTCTGTTGGGTCCTCAGAACTCATTGAGCAATTGGGGCTTCACCACACAGGTCTCGCACAAGTTATCTCCAACCCCAGCAGTCTTCCAGTGTCCCATTTCTGATCTCACTTCTTTCCTTCTTACACAACTTACTACTTAAGTTATCCATCACCTGTTATTCCAGGGAACTAGGCTTCCTAAAAATCTATCATGAGAAACCATACAGCCCAGCAGTTAACAGATCAATGTGTGTGTGAATCTTGACTCTGCCCCTTTCTAGATGTATGAATGTGGATAAATTACACTACAGTTATTAGTCTCAGTTTCCTAATCTGTAAAATGGAAATAATAACATCTATCACACAGTATGAAATGGAGTGAGAAATGGAGCTAATATACATAAAGCAAGCAGTATAGAAGGAGGCTTGTAATTGACACCACAAATGATAATTATTTCATTTTGGTTTTTTAATAAAAATATTTAGACACAAATTAATAATAAGTATGGTTTCTACCAAATGAGGAGATGGACTGTTCATTAATAATTACAGTGTTGTGTGCTATAACTCCAAAATGTGGCCAAACTGCAATAAAGATCATCACTTTGCTACACTCCTCAAAAAACTTTTAAGTGGCAACTATAATGGAAGAATGGATTTGATAACACTTGGTAACATTTGATTAATTAATAAGATATTTGGTTTTCTATCATCTACACATCTCAGTAGATAGTGGTTGAACGCTTCAGTGAAGGTGTTCCCCAAGTGTCAGACCCCCTGGAGATACTCATTAAAATGCAAATCTTTAAGTCTCTCCTAAGAAGTCTTAAATCAGAATCTTTGGGGAAGAGGACTAGGCATCTTCATGTCCACAAGCTCTCCAGGAAACTTTTTTATATAATATGGTTTGAGAACAACTGCTTTATTGTTAAGTAGGAAATAAACCTTGCAGTCCTTACTTCCTTATGCTCTTACATCACCCCAACCAGAGATATTGTGATAAAGTATATGTATTCAGGCATCAGTTATTGGAAAGAATCCAGGTGAGAAAAGCACAAGTATAAAGTTATAATCTCAACCTTGAAGTTAGAAGGACTAGCTTGGCTGTAATATGGTGATAAATTCAGCTAGGTTGAAAATATTATTAACTCAATTATGAAAATATTATGTCAAGAAGATTGATGTACCCACATAATTCTAACAACACTGTACATTCTTAACTTCCAGTGATTTTACCCTATGGATTAATCTAAGTGCAACATAAGTAATTTTAAATATTGAACAATGTTAATACCTGTAAGCCCCCTGTCATCATCTATCATAGCATTCTACTCTCTTCCATTATAGTAGTTGCCATATTTCTATTACATGTTTTACAGTTTTTACAGTTGAATCTTTGTTTACTGATTATCTGCAAGGTCAGATTATCTGCTATACCATAGCAGACTCCTGTGTATTTTGGTCTGGACCCAAAGCCAGCAAACTGCTAAGCAGACCACAGATAATAAAATCTCTTGAATGAATAAAATGAGTATTTTTACACACTGAAAATTTTTATCAAAACTTAACCATAAAGTTGTAGCTTTTCCTCAAAATACATGACTTTAAAGATATTTGTGGTATTACAAATAAGGAGATCCAGTGGCATGTTGGTGAAAGTATGGACTTCATAATCACAAGACCATAAATTTTAATTTCATGCCTATTACTTTGGCTATGAGACCCATAGACAAATTATTTAACTATTCTTTCTCTCAGTTTCTTCATCCATGAAGCTTTTCTAAACAAATAGAATATAAAGGACAATTAGATAAGTAGGAATTTCTCACAGATTCAGAAGGTAACAAAAATATAGGCTGTGGAAAGAAGCAGAGAACTTCTGGTTACGAGAGCACCAGCAAGTTTTCACTCCCATACTAGCTGTTCTTTACTCTCCAAATGACTTTTTATGGCAAACTGCAATGCAACTAGATTGTATTTTTAGAAACCTCACAGATAAGCAATAAGTACTCACAGAGTGTTCAAATTCTTGAGTTTCTTGAAGGCACTCCCAGGAATTTCTCGTATTCTGTTAAACCTCAAGTCTCTGGAAACATAAAAAGAGGGAGAAAGATTATAATATGTGGATTCCAGTGGTGCTATTATTTCCAGAAACTTGAAAACTAATTATCCTTTTATAACCAAATTATGGCACTAAAGGACTAAACATAAGACAGAATTAGGTACATTATGCATAATCATTAGGCAGGTACATTGTTTATAGCAGATTATGCATATCAGGAGCTATATGCTAGTCCAAAGGTGCCAGACAAGTGCAGCTACTTACAGAATTCTTCAAGGTATTAAAGGCAGTTATACCATTTCCTTTAGGTTATATTTATATGGCACTAAAATAAATTCTATATATGGCAACATGCCAATTGAGCATAATTAATTTGGACAATATTGATAGATCAGATGTCACTTATCAATTCAACATAACACCATTACTTGGGTTTAGGCAAAATTATTATTAATTAGTTAATTTTTCTTCATAGCCCAGGAATATAACAGCCTTCTAAGGAAGGATTAAAACAAGTCAACAAAACAATTAGTTTAAGAGAGACAACCAACATTCTCTTTCATCAATTAATACATTATTTTATTCAGCATGTAAATTATTGAGGGCCAACTACATGCCACATATTGTGTTATGTAATAGGGACACAAAGATGTGCAATATATGGTCCCTGCTACTGAGCAGGCACAGTTGAATTGAGGATTACAAACAAATAATTACAGCACTAGTATATAAAGTATTAATGGTACAACAGAGCAACAAACAAAATGTTCTGCACAGATAGCCAACTTAGGTATTGGTCTGCCTAGACCCTCTCTATCAGTGAGAGAAGAACCCACTCTGCTGCCTATGATTTTGGTGGAAATGTTAATCAGGTGCTCTTCAAGAGGTGACTAAAAGCCAGACATGAGTGTGTCAGAAGAACAAACACAAAAGGAAAAACAACAAAATATCTACTTCCCCTCAACTAATTTCTCAAAATAAAATTTTTCACCACCATAAAAAGGAGCTCTTGTTTAGAATACTTGATTCAAAAATCTTTGTAAGATTACCTTAAAATTCTATCATTTTATGTTTCTCTTGAGTTGACTTTGAAAGAATATGTACAATTTTATAGGAGCTTTTTCAATTAAAATCATTCAATTAAATCCTGACACCAAGAAATAAAAAAGATGCATGAAATTTTTTCAAAGGTATTCAATTAAAATAACTCAATATGAATATACCTCTTTGTAAGATGGACTGCACTGCTTAAACATCATACATTGCTATTTGATGCATCTGTACTATATTTTTAAAAGAAACTTTATAAATGATGTGAAATTCTCACTATAAACATATAAGAGATAAAGTTACATAAATCCAAATACCCTAGACCCATGGTTTCCCTTCAACACAGTAGCTTTAAATTACAAAAAGGACTCTCCTCTCACATCAAACCATAAATCCTAATAGTCCTCCCAAACTGAGCTTCCAACAATACAAGAAGGGAGTAAATATAAAAGAATAAATCACTTTCCTTTTTTTAGGCTTTGAAATTTTTTAAAAATTCAGAAAAGTACAAATGAGAAAAGAATACTCTTTATTGTCCATATCCAGAATTAACAACTGCTTTCACTTGATACATTTGCTTCTATTCATAGTTCCACACATTTTTGTTTTGATTACACAAATCACATATAAAAATATATTACAGGTAAAGTAAAAGTCTCTTTTAACCACTATCTTAATTTTAGGTATGTCTCCTTTTCCCTCATATAATCTCTCTCCTGAGTGTAATGCCTCTCTTCAGAAACACAAACATACACAGGGATATGAATAAATATAAGTAAAATGTATACATATAAAAATATGAAAATAAACATAATATAGGTAAATATAAAATATTTAGTGTTTTTGAATTTACAAAAATGGTATTAAACTTTATATAGTTTTTAAAACTTCTTTTTCCCCCCTCTACTGCATTTCTTCTAGGTCATTCCTTGGCACATAAAGATCTAGATATTTATCCCCATCTGTTCTGTAATATTCCACTATACAGACAGGCCACCGTTCATTTATATATTCCCTTACTGACAGCCATTTTGACTGTTTTCAATTTTTTACAACATTTACAAATAATATTTCAATAAACATGCATGCATGTCTCCTTGTGCACATGAAGAAATGTTTCTCTGGAACATATTTAGAATTATGATTGCTAGATCATAGTGTATGCACAGCTTCGGTTTTACAAAATGATGTCAATTCCAAATTTATTTTCAATTAGATACTACAGCAGTAATATAAGTAATTAAAAATAATGCGAAGGATGCTTGAACTAATCACCAAATTTAAACTTTTCACTGGATTGATTTAAGAGTCAAGGTGTTAAGTATGTTGGTTATCAAAATTCCCTCCTGTCTTCGCTAGCAAGCAAAACTAAGGTCTCCAGCCACAAGAATAGTGTGGCAAGGTGTCCACTGCCCCAAGGGTTATTCAGGGGACTGTGAGATACATGACCCACAGTTCTCATTGCTCAGGCAGCCACAGGGTACTTCTTCCAGAGAAGCAAAACACACCTAGAGACCCAAAGATTATTTCCCCATTGACTTAAACTCCCATAAGGCATATTCAAATGCACCAAAGTTAGCATGTTAACATTCATCTTCTTTGCTAGTATATTCTACCACATAAACTTGTGTAGTTAGGTACATTAAAAACGAAAACTCTAAGGAAAAACTTCCCTTCCTAATTTTAATTGCTGCATTTAGGATTGCATATGGGGCATTACACAATTGCTGAAAGTAGTATTTACCATACCTTTTTATGAAATTACACTAAAAGATCATCTGAATTCAAATGACCACCAAATCTGGATCATGCTACCTTCTGTGTAAATAAGTTTATACAAAAATATAATTTATTTTCCCATATTGCCTCTATTGTGTTCAAGATGGATCACTAAAATTTCACCCACACAAAATTTGTCATTTATATAAAATTTCCTTAGCATAAGTTGTAGCATTATATTTTCACTCTTTGCATAGAGTGAAAATTGAATTTTTATATATCCTGCACAATTCATCCCTTTATGATATATGTAATATTGATAAAATAATATTCATAAAAATAATTATTATTATTTAGCACAATTTTCATCCCATTCATTGTTCGCTGGAATCCAATTTAGAAGCAACTTTAGGAAATGCACCAAGATGAAAACCGAGCACACGGTGCTTACTGGCAGTGGTTAAACATGAGTTTGTCTTTCTATCTGTCTGTCTGGCCTGCCCACCCCCATCTAAAGCTGCTAAAGCTGGAGAAGAAATGTTTAATGATTTTTACCGTGAGAAATTTGGAACTGATGTTTTTAACCAATAAGAGATGAGTTTTAGTTCAAATTCAACCCAGAAGAATCTCCTTCCAAAAAGAGTTTTAAATGATTCCCTCATTGTACACAGGGGGCAGAGAACAAGCATGGACAGACAGCAAACAGAACTAGGCTCAAACACATTAACATAGCTCAAGATGATGTCATTTAGTTCCTCCAGGGAACAGGGCACACCATGCCCATATCACCACCCATTACACACCCTCTGGGTGGGTAAGATAGAGTTATACTATGTCTACGTGGAAAAGTCCAGCTAAAGACCTCACAGAGGGATAGAGAGGCTAGACCTTGCCCAGAGGTCTGAGGTTCCCAGTATATTTTATAAATGCCAAACATAAGGCATATTTTTGAAAACATTAAACAAGTGGGTATTTAAACATAAAAAATAAAATTGTAATTGTCCACAAATGGTAGTCCAGTTTAAGTTGTAAGATGAATGGGATGCTCCTGAAAAACACTATCAGCCTGCCCTGGGACTGAATGCATAGGCCGTTAGGAGATAAAATCAAAGTCTAAATCTGAGTTCTTGAAGGTGATACCCAGGCCAACAGACTGTCTGGTCTTGCTGTGGTATGGGTCCTCCTAATAGTGCCCTGGTTGGAGATGGCCTTCAGGTTTATTGTGAGTAGATGCCTGAGCTAAAGGGGCCCATTCCTAGACATTTTAGCTAAGAATCTAGCACTGAGAGAGCAAAACAAACAAGGGAAACTCTCAGAGAGCACCAGCTTAGGCAGGCTGATTTCAGTCTGAGTGTGCTACTTGTTTTCTCATAAGTGAGAAATATTCATTCTGGCAGAAAGCCTATCTTCATGAAAAAAAGATCAAGCAGATCCATACGTGAGCCAAAAACATTCCTGTTGAAGGCGGGGATGCAACTAAGTCAGCATAAAGTCAAAAGTATAAAACTGCAGAAAAAAAGTAAAAGCAGGGTCTTATCTCCCCTGGCTCCCAGGAAGAGCAGGAGGGAGTGAGATGACTGCTGGTAGCCCGGCCATCAACATCTCTCCCAGGAGCACACACCTGTGCACTCCTGCCTCCTGTCTGTCTCTGGAGTCAAAGTCATATGTGTACTCTGCTGCCTGTAGCCAGGTTCCCTGTTACTCTGATCCTAACTCCTAGAGCTGCCCTGGCCTCCATCTCTTTTCTCCGCTGTTATCCCACGTGCTGTTCCCTCATCCATGGTGTCTACACTGACCGGACCTTGGAATCAGGGGAAGAACGTAAGAGATCTCTCCACAACCTCTCCTGCTGCCCTAAAACATCTTCTTTATCTCCCCATCTTGCAGCCCTTTCAGGGTAGGAATTGGAAAAACATTTTCCAGGCCTGAGGAAGAGAAGTTGGAGGACACCACTCAATGCATGGCTTGCCTGATTTCCAATCATGTTCTTTGGTTTTCCCTGACCTCAGGTTCATTTTCTGCCTACCAAGTGTGAAGCAGCCAGAGCTTGAGTCTATCATCCATTGCTGTTTGTCTGGCCTGATGTTAACCTGTTATGAAGGGTAATTTATGTGTCAACTTGACTAAGCCATGGTACCCAGATTTTGGTCAAACACCAGTCTAGATGTTGCTGTGAAGGTATATTTTTATACGTAATTAACACCAAAATCAGTAGACTTTGAATAAAGCAGATACCCTCCATAATGTGGATCCTA